AGAAAAAAAACCCGCTCCTATGATTCATCCATTTTGAAGAGTGTTCATATCCAAATCCAAAGAAGGCAGCTTGCGATAGGTCTCCAGGGGATCCACCCCCAGCACAGGGTCCTGGCCACACACACAACCACTTCTGCTTCCCACAGCGCCTCCGTCCGGGGCAGCAGAATCACTCACGCCCCGTTGACAACGTTAACGTGTATGATTATACCTCTGTCCGTCAGCGAAGCCATCGCGAGTCCCATTTTACAGATGGCGAGACGGAACTACAGTCATGAGGATCGTCCCCAATGCTGCTCACGGATAGTTGGCAGAAATGAGAGCGAAATCCAAGCCCTTTCCATCTCAAACGCATCAGTTCGCCTTGCCTTGGTCACGGGGACAAGACGTGCCGTGGGACTTCGTGGGCAGGGATTTTGGAGGAAGGGTCAGGATTTTTCAAAGTTTACTTTGTAAGAAATGATAGAAGGGGAAGGGACCTCATGGTTAAGATCTGCACCGCAGGAGCGGCTTTTTTATATTTATTTATTTAAAAATATTTTTTATTGACTTCAGAGAGGGAGAGAGAGGGAGAGAAACATCAATGAGAGAGAATCACTGGCAGGCTGCCTCCTGCACGCCCCACACTGGGGATGGAGCCCTCAGCCCGGAATTGAATCCATGACCTCTTGGTTCATAGGTCGATGCTCAACCACTGAGCCACATCGACCAGGCCCAGGAGCGACTTTTAGAAGTGAACAGCGAAAGGACAAGGGCGGGAACTAGTTTATTCCATTCCCTACTGTACACTGACTGACCGAGTCAGACAACAATGAAAGAGCTGTCATCTGCGTCTCTAGGAAAGACCCGGTCCCACGCCAGGCTCCCCAACATGCTCATTGCGCCACTGGCCATCACTGGTCATCACTGGCCACCGCTGACCACCTTCTGCTGAAATGGACATGCAGCTGGGAGGCCCCCGGCTTTAGGATCTGGCTTTACTCCACTCCTCTGACCGGGTCTTGCCGTGCTCCACCCACACTCCTCTCCCTGGCCTCCTTCCCTCCTTGGGGGACTTGAACACCCCCAAGTCTTCACTCTTGGCCATCTTCCCTCTCCACTCTTACTGCCCCCCAGAGAGCTCATTAATGTTTAAGCAGATGTTGCCCAAATCAATATTTATCCATGTGGCCGAGTCCCTCCAGCACAGTCTGTGCTACAATATGCACTGGATGCTTCATTTCAGTGTCTTGGTACCGCCATCACCTCCGATTCACCACGTTTAACCATCAAAGGTTCCTGGCCCGGGCCAGGAAACAAAACATTTCCCTTCCCACGCGTCCGCCAATGCCACCACCGCTCCCCGCTCCCCGCTCCCCGAGGCACGTGGCTGGGCACGCCTTAGACGCAGTCCTTTGTTACCCCCGGAGTCAACGCCTCCAGTCGGGGTTCTGTGCTTGGTTTTAGCTCTCAGCCGCTCCTACTTCTTAACTAAACCCTTCAAGAGCCCTCCTCACCCGAACCTGAGAGAGGTCTGATGGGAGCTCAACGGGGGCAGGGCTTCCCAGCAAGAGAACAAGAAGGGAAACGGCCGGGGGCAGGAGAGAGCCGGAGGGTTCTAAGGACAGAAAGGCAGTCCGTGTGGCTGACACACTGGGAAAGGGAGCCAAGGGCTGGAGGGAGGGTGGGTGGAAGTGCAGGAGGCGTCAAGGCCTGGACCGTGGCCGGTCCTCAGAGGCACAGGGTGGGTTTCCTCTGAGCGCAGCATGAGCCTGACTCGTGCCGGAACCTTCCCGCCTGAGAACGGAGCAC